TAAGGGGGGCACATCTGCGTGTGCGCGCCTACGGAGCACTATCCGTTTATGCGGTTATTCACCGCGTTTGCGATCCCTATAATGCATTTGCGGGCATCGCAGATCCGGAAATTCCCTCGCACATGCAATCCATGTCCATGCCTCCAATCTCCGCTTCTGCGCTTTGTACACCGCACATGCGATCCCGCACCTGCGGTCTCCCCGACGCACGTGCGAAAACACCAGATGCCTCAATACTTCAGCAATAACACCAATCCAACTTTTGATCCGTTAAGCACCCAAAACTCACCCGAGGCCCCCGGGACCTCAACCAAACATACAAACCAATCCTAAAATACCATACGAACATAGTCGAGCCCTCAAACCATATCAAATAATGCTAAAAACATGAATCATCCTCCGATTCAAACTTAAAGAACTTAAAACTTCCAAATCCGATAACCGATGCCGAAACAAACCAAACCACGCCCGATTGACCCCAAATTTTGCACACAGGTCATATTCAACCCTACGGACCTACAACTTCACAGAACTGGAATCCGACTCCGCTATCAAAAAGTCCACCACCGGTCAAAATCTTCAAAAAAATAATTTTTGCCATTTCGAGCCTAAATCAGCTACATACCTCTAAAACACCATCTAGACACGCCCCTAAGTCCAAAATCACCCAACGTAGCTAACGGATCTGACGGAAATCTATTCCAAAGTTGTCTTCACACAGTTCCGACTACAGTCCATATCCTAAGGCTTAAACCTCCGTTTTAGGGACTAAGTATCCCAAAACACTCCAAAAACCAAAACGAAACCTCCCGACAAGTCATAATAGCATAAATAGATGTGAGAGAAGCAGTTAATAGGGGATCAGGGCTATAACTCTCAAAATGATCGGTCGGGTCGTTACACTTCCATAGTTTTTCCTATTTGATTTTCAAACATCTTGTTCACGAGCAGTTGATAAGTGGCTCCAGGATTTTTCAATCCGAAGGGCATCACATTGTAATAATATATACCGAAATTTGTTATAAACGAAGTTTTTCCTCGATCTTCCGAGTTCATCTTAATTTGCTTATACCCGGAATAAGCATCGAGAAAACTCATAAACTCGTGTCCGATCGTGGCATCAATCATTTGATCGATGTTTGGCAGTGGGAACGAGTCTTTCGGGCACTCCGTATTAAGATCTTTATAATCTACACACATGCAAAATTTATTATTCTTTTTAGGAAATATTACTATAATAGCTAGCCAATTTGGATATCTTACCTCTCGGGTCGAACATATATTAAGTAAGCGGGTTACCTCTTCTTTGACGAATTTATTCCTGGCTTCGGTGATCAGGCGCTTCTTTTGTCTTACCGGAGGTATATTAAGATCCAAGCATAACTTGTGTACGGCTATCTCTGTCGGAATACCTGTCATAACCTCATGCGACCATGCAAAACAATTGGCGTTAGATTTAAGGAATTTAATGAAGTTGGACCTGAGTTCTGGATGCAATCCTGTCCCCATGTTGAATTTCCTTTCTAGGAATTCCTCGAACAATGCCACTTGCTCCAGCGCTTCCATTGTGGACTTGGTCACATCTGTCTCTTCTGGAACTTGGAAATATCTCGGCACCTGATTATCTTCCGACGCCTGGCTAACTTCATCTAGTTCAGGAGTAGGTGCCAGGTCCTGTAATTGCTATGCCACGTATTTCTTTCCTTTGCCATTGGAGACCAAAAATGCATTCATCTCCTTTGGCATCAGTTGGTCACCCCTTATCTATTTAATTCCCCCGAGTGTTGGAAACTTCAGCAATTGATGGTATATTGATGGTACAACTTTCATCTTGTGCAACCATGGCCTTCCCAGAATTATGTTGTATCTCATATCACCATCTACCACTTTGAAAAGAGTTGTTTTAATTACTTCTTTTAGCGTTTGTGTGTAATAAAATTTCTCCCCGAGTTGTCACACTTGTTAGGTTGAATCCGGCAAGGAGCTTTGTGGACGGAATAATACTTCTGGTGAGTTTAGCTTGCTCCAATACTCTTCATTATATGATATTAGCTGAACTCCCTGGATCCACTAAAATATGTTTAATCTTAAAATCTAACACATTTAAAGAAACTACCAATGCGTCGTTGTGTGGTAGTAGCAATCCGTCTGCGTCCTCCTCCATAAAAGTGATATCGTCTTCCCGAAGCCTTTTGCTATGCGTTATTGATACTTTCATCTTCTTTGCTGCTGAAAAGGTGATCCCGTTAATCTCGTTCCCTCTGAAGATCATGTTGATTATTTGACGCGGGGGATCTTCTCCCGCTTTCAAGGGTTCCGTATTGTCTCGGTTACGACCATAATTGTTCTTAGTTCGGTTACTCAAGAATTCTCTGAGGTGACCATTCTTTAGTAATGTTGCCACTTCTTCCCCGAGATGTCGACAGTCACCTGTCCAGTGGCCATTCGCCCTGTGGTATTCACACCACAAGTTAGGATCCCCCTAGTTAGAATCAGATCTCATCGGTCTTGGGAAACATGCTTATTTGATATTTCTCATGGCCGATACCAATTCCACTATACTAACGTTGAAGTTGTATTCTGTTAATTTAGGGTAGGAAAGATCCCATGATCCTGCCACTTATTTATCATGTAGTGATCGATTATTCCGACCGCGATCAATCCTCTTATCGATCGTGAACCTGTCTGTTCTCCGGAAACCTCTGCTGCGGCCTTCAATTCATTCGTAAGGCAAAAATTGGCCCCTCGAAGTTCGCATGTCCGCGTCATAATCATCCTTTGATTTTTCCTTATTCTTTTCTCGTCCTTTGGTCGACAATGGAAAACCAACCTGATCATCTTCGATCCTTAATTTTTATTCATACCGGTTGTGGAAGTCCGCACATGTCATTGCTTGAAATTCAAGTAGGCTCTCTTTCAATTTACGGGAAATGTCTGAACTCCTTGGATTCAATCCTTTGGTGAACGCCTCAGCCACCCATTCATCCGGGATAGCCGGGGGCAACATTCTCTCCTTCTGGAATCAGGTAACGAACTCTTATAGTAGCTCGGACTCTCCTTACGCTATCCTGAATATGTCGGCTTTTCGGGCATGTACTTTTCTTGCACCAGCATGAGCCTTGATGAAAGAATCCGCAAGCATTTTGAAGGAATCTATGGAATGCTCGGGTAACAGCGAATACCACGTCAAGGCCCCCCTCGTGAGGGCTTCTACAAATTTCTTAAGCAACACAAATTTAATTTCGTGAGGAGCTAAATCATTCCCCTTTATCGCTATTGTGTAGGTGGTAATATGTTCCTGGGGGTCTGAAGTTCCGTCATACCTTGGCATTTCAGGCATTTTGAACCGATTCGGGATTTACTCTTGTGCCGCACTTGGCTTGTACGCCAATTGAGTATACTTCTTCGAGTACGGGCCTTTCAGCACTAGTGGCGCGCCCGAGATCTGGTCCATGCGAGCATTTACTTCCCTCATAAACGTCAAGGCCCCCCTCGTGAGGGTTTCTACAAATTTCTTAAGCAACACAAATTCAATTTCGTGAGGAGCTAAATCATTCCCCTTTATCGCTATTGTGTAGGTGGTAATATGTTCCTGGGGGTCTGAAGTTCCGTCATACCTTGGCATTTCAGGCATTTTGAACCACTTCGGGATTTACTCTTGTGCCGCACTTTACTTGTACGCCAATTGAGTATACTTCTTCGAGTACGGGCCTTTCAGCACTAGTGGTGCGCCCGGGATCTGGTCCATGCGAGCATTTACTTCCCTCATAAACCGTAAAAGTTCATTCTTGAAAGAATAATTCTCGTTGTTGAGACCAGATCTGTTCCCCCTGCCCCATCAGAGCCAATTTCACTCCCTCATAAACCGTAAAAGTTCATTCTTGAAAGAATAATTATAGTTGTTGAGACCAGATCCGTTCCCCCTGTCCCATTAGAGCCAATTTTACCCCTGGGAGTGTTGTTATTGATCCCCCGCATTGTTTGATTTGTGTGTATCCTTGGAGGGATCGAATCTCGCCTATTTGCATTATTTGAAGCTCCCGACAACGTTTGCTTCAACTCTGTCATAACTTTATCCTGTCGCGTGAGGTGGCCTAGAATGATCGTTTGTTGCTCTTGCAAGACCCTTACCGCGTCGACGACATGCTCATCATCAGCGTCATCGAGAGTGGTCCCCCGAACATGTCGAGGATACTGACTGTCATGCACTGGTGTAGCGTCACTCCTTTCGTTATGGGTATCGCTGATTGAGTCCTCGGAATGAGGCTGATCCCCTCGAATCTCGAGGTTGTGCATGTCGTTAACACTGTTATCTGTCATTTCTTATGATTTCTAAGACAAAAACAATCAAAACACATTAGTAAAAAAGGTAAGGATCAATTTAATTACACGGCTATCTAGGCCCCACGGTGGGCACCAAGCTGTTTACCCGTAAAACGGTATAGTTGAATTTATATGTGATTTCTAGATAAGTGAATTAATTTGATCCTGAAATAAATAAATAATTGAAGAATTACACAATACTTAGCCTTAAGATATAAACGAAATAACATAAGCAATAATTTCGGGAACAAGATTTTCGGGCACAACAACAACAATAAAATCGAGAACTAAGACGATAAGATTGGATTGAGCTTTGTATAAAATATAGTGTAAGTTTGCTAGAAAATTCATGTCCTTTACAATGACAACTGAGCTCACTCTTTATAGCTATGAAGAAGGTCCTACTGTCGTGCCCTTCTTTAATGTCAATTATGAGGGGCATTGATAAAGATGTAACGGTGAACATAAATGTCAAATTCCTTATAATGGGTAAATGCTCTTAATGTTATGAATATTCTCTATTGAATGCTACCGGGAGAAGATCATTTATCACATCTTTATGAGCATTATTCTTGTCGGCGACAAACGAAACAATTGTTCAGTCATCCCCTGTCTTGGGTTCCACGTGTCCATTTCTCGAACGACCACATTTCATAACATATTTTACCCGATACAAGTACATGATTTGAAATATTTTATACGCAAAATTATATAATTGCACATACTTCGTTTCCTCTGGAACGGTTAATAATAATTTGAAAAAGTACTAGGAACACATTTTGGATTTTACATGTTGACAAAATCCTAACAAAATTTCTCACGACCACAAGACCAGTTTGTTCAACAAGGGCATATAGGTCATTTCACAGCATGGCAAATTTGCCTGCGGAAATACTGCTTTTAAAACCACAACATAGCAAGTCTGAAGGCAAGGAAAGCAAAAAGCTAAATTATGCGAACTCCACGTTACCTTTCCATCATCATCTTCTTCTTCTTCTTCGTCGCTTTCCGCCTTCTCCCCACCGTTTCCTTAGTCGCCGCTACCTCTAACACTGCCGCCACTGCTCCCTCACCGTCGCCGTCCACCGACGTCCCTACCACCAGTAACTTAGATTTTATCCGTTCGAGTTGTCAAACTACACAATATCCTGACACATGCTATAACTCTCTCTGTATCTACGCCAGCATTGTCCAACAGGACTCTGCTCGGCTGGCTCTTGTAGCCATCGGAGTTAGTCTAGACAAAGCCAAATATGTCGTCGCATACTTCTCCAACCTCTCCTGTGAAGCGAACTACAGTGCCCAGCCACGAATCGGAGCTGCTCTACACGACTGCTTCTCTGTGTTCAGAGATTCCGTGGACCAAATACGTGACTCGCTGAATCAAATGAGGACGCTCGGGGGATCGGGCGAGTCGTTGAGGTTCCAGATTAGCAACGTTCAAACATGGATGAGCGCCGCCTTAACCAATGAAGAAACGTGTACGGACGGCTTTGAGGATGTACCTGATGGACCCTTGAAGATGGACGTCTCTGATCGTGCTGCTAAGGTGAAGGAGGTGACCAGCAATGCTTTGGCTTTGATAAATTGTTATGCTAATAAAATGTCATAGATGACACTGAGCATTAGAGGAAGAAAAAATTAGTTCAAGCTTTTAGATTATTATTTAGTGGTCCAGATATTTGATTTTTTTTCCCTTTTTTTTAATTATTATCTCCGGTCCACTTTATTTTTTATTTTTTTTTGTGGTCTATAATATTTAAATTTTTTATATATCAAGAAAGAATTAACTTCTTTTTTTCAAATTTGTCCTTGGATTAAAGAGTCTAAGAGTATTTGTTATAAACAAATTAAGAATAATATGATTAATTTTATTATTAATTAATGGAGTTAAGATCTGAATTCCTTAATATGTGTGACAAAAAAAAAATTAATTAAAATAAATCGGAGAGAATATTAAAATAATTGTTTTCATAGTACTTTTAGGAGAAAATTAAAAAAGAACAAATTAATGGAAAAAAAATTGATGGAACGACTTTATGTGGTTTCGTTTCGTTTTCTGGGCCTCCAATATCAAACAAAATTATTTATGGTTCTAACTTTTCTTCCCCTTTTCCTTTTTGTTTTTTCCCTTTCCCGTTGTTCTTTATAATGTCTGTTGTGGAGGTTACATAAATTGGCGAGATCATTCTGAGATCTTAGGTCTAATCATTTTAGGAATTTTGATTTTGGTAATTCATGTCCTTGAGCCAGTTTATATTGACTTATTTTAAGTGTCTTTAAATAAAATAACTTTTAAATCATTTTGTGATATTTGGATAGAGTCAAAAAGTGTTTTAAAGCTAAAATGACAAAAACATACCAAAAGATAAAAAGCTAGAATTCCTAACTTATGACTTAAAAACTATTTTGACTTAAAAGTCACTTAAAATAAGCTCATCCAAACGGGCTACTGTGGCACATAAGTGGAGTGACGAAATTGCTCTCTCCTTCATGTGTAGTACCCCATTTTAATTTATGTGATATAATTTAATTTCATACATATCACACCTCCTTTTTTCCGAGGGGATAGGGGATGGAGAGTTTTTTCAATTTAAGTGACATTATTCGAAATGAGATTATTTATTTAATTCAGAGTCGCCACTTGGAATAGTTTATGGTGTCCCAAGTCACCGGTTTATTTTAGAATCCCAAATCGAGGAAATTTGACTCTTATTTTTGGTCCGCGAACACAGAAGACCGGGTAAGGAATTCTGTTAACCTGAAAAGAGGTGTGAGGCACTCCCAAATTTCGTGGTTTTAGCACGGTCGCTTAACAATTAATACTTGGCGTAATTATCTGATTTATTACATGTGTTTAAACTTATTGTGCATTTTTGTCTTTTACCGCTTTTTAATATTTATGGAACTTATTTGAACAAGTCGCGATGTCCCAAACTCATTTGTTTTTATACATATTGCGAATCGCGTCACGTGAAACGCACCCGCGATTTACAACATGTTTATTTTTATTATTATTCGAAGTTGAAGTCAAGTCGCGTGAAACGCGCACTTGAGTTGGAGTTTACGTATCGTGACCATGCCACAGGAACCATACCCATAGTCACGATGATTTATTAATCGCGCCTAAAGCAACTAGCACGTGTTCATGATTTGTTTTTCCTTACGGGTTTGAGATATGTGTAAGGTCAAGAGCTATGGAAATCAATTGTGAAAAATGGGTCACCTTTTGCTCTTACTAAATTAGGCCTGACAGAAACTATTTTGGACCAGATAAATTAAATTGCATCGTTGTATAATTTGCCCTTTAAAGCCAATTAATGAGTATGCCCAGATACTAGTTCATCAAGCTACTCCCTTATCAATTAGTCAATTGCGGTAGTACATGTTTCATTAAGCATAGCCCAACCACCGGGCCCAATCATATTTTTTTAAGTCTAAACCTCATTTTTCAATTTCAACTAGCAGACATAGATTTTATCCCCAAAGTTCAAACATTCACTACGTGCCCAAAAATTATTTTTTATAAATTTTTATGTTAATCATCAAGAAAGTAGCAAAATTTAACAAAGCTAATGAGACCTAACAATTAATACAAAAAAAAATATTTCAACCTTCATGAATCTAAATAAGATCAAATTATATATTCAAGCATAATATCTTAATAAAATAATGATGAGATAAATGGACCTTTACAAGACTGTTTTGAAGCTCGGACAATGGACAAGGATGTAAATGGAGCCTCGACCAAAATCGACAAATGGAGCTCGAACTCGATGACTCAACTTTGGAGCTGTTATTTTCTATACAAATAAGGACTGTTTCGCTGAGTTTTCGGCTCGTTTTTGTGGTACTTTTTAGTTTGGTTTTCAGTTGGTTCGGGGCTGGAGTTTAGGTGATGAATTGCTGGATTTTTTGAAAGAAAGCCGAAGAAAGAATGACACGAGTAGAAATTTCCTTATCCTAGAAGAAGAAAATATTTTTTTCTCAATTCCTTCCTCCCTATTTTTTCCTTTCTCTCTCTTTTTTTTCATCACATTTCTCTTCTATTTATAGAAAAAAATTTCGAAATTTTCAGATTTTTATTTTTTATTTTTTATTTATTTTTTTATTTTTAATTAAAAAGAATTTCCACTTCCCAATTTTCTTATTTTTTTTAAAAAAAATAATTTCCCACTTTCCTTTACTTTTATTTTTTAATTTCTCACTTTTTTTATTTTTAATATATTTAAAATCCCACTTTTTTACTTTTTTTTTATTTTCCACTTACTTTTACTTTAAAAAAAAAAATCAGATACCCTTACTTTTATTTTTTAATTTCTCACTTTTTTTATTTTTAATATATTTAAAATCCCACTTTTTTACTTTTTTTTTATTTTCCACTTACTTTTACTTTAAAAAAAAAAATCAGATACCCTTACTTTTATTTTTTAATTCCACCTTTATTTTACTTTTTATTTTAAAAATTTTCACATTCTTTTACTTTTATTTTTTTGATTTTCCACTTTCTTTTACTTTTTTTATTAAACAATTTCTACCTACTTTTACTTTTACTTTTTAATTTTATATTTCTACTTTTCCTATTTTTTAATTCCCATCCGAAATTTGTTTTAATTTTTTTTATTTTCAGTTTTTAATTCATTTTATTTAAAAATAAAGATAAAAATAATAATAAAAATAATACTAATAGTAATAATTTATCTTTTATGTATAAGTGTAACAAAGCTAAAAATAAATATATATTAAATTCTGAAAATATTTACATAGTAGAAGGTGATAAAAATTCAAATATAGTCAAAAATTAGGTGCTCACAGCTGCCCCTCTTTGCTTGAAAACATGAAGAGTTTTCAGGCAAAGACTAAGTGAGCCACGTGACTAATTTTTGACCAAACCATTATTCAAAAGGAAAAGAAATAAAAGATAGGGTGCAACCGAGTCCTGGTTTTGGACAGCCTACATATCCCGGGTTATAGGGGAATCAGGTCGCGTGTAGTTCAAGGAGAATGGTGGAATGATGA